GGGCTCAACAGCGCCGTGCGTTGTCACAAGCAGGAGCACTGCTCAACCGTCACTGACCTGCAAGGTGTTCGTCGTCGTTCAGCTTCGTGATGGTGCCCAACGTAATTTCGCTGAACACAAACTGCTTGATCCGCGTCATCAGCCCCACGACACATGGATATGCACTCGTTCTACGCATTGTTGAAACCCCGTGATGGACAAAGGGATTTGTAAACGTTGCTAAGAGTACAGTAACTGCCAGGAGAACACTGCTTAACTAATAACGCGGCGCAGAGCATGGATATTGTCCGCCACCATGTTTGAGCCCATGTCATTGGAGTGAAATGTGGTCATGTCACCCCCGCGAAATTCGAGTGGAGGGTAGGCATTTTTTTCTTGTATATTGAATGTTTTAAATTGAATAACTTCATACTGCGTGCCGCTATGGCTGCCGTTCTTGCTGCACTGATTTGCCCGTGCGTCAGTCTATGCAGTCCACGAGTTAAAAATAGGGGGGTGAAAAGTGTTAGAGGGCCCCTTTAAGGGAGCACAGCGCAGCGTCTTGTAGGGTAATGGGGTAAGGGAAATAAAGAGCGGGAAAGTGGAAGGTAGGGATAGAAGCAGTCAGAAGTAGACGAGAGTCCTGTGGAGCGTCTCGATGGTAGCGGGGCACTTCTGAGAGTGTAGGAGAGGGTAAGTGTAGTGCTTCGCCGCTCCTTCTCTCGCCATTTGCTCTCTCCTCCCTGCGCCCTACCCTCCTGTCCACTCGCGCCTCTCAAGAACATTCGAAAATGTGTGCTCGAGACGCCGCTGTGAAACGCCAACGCAGAAACGAGAACGCCGGTGCCCCATTCTCCCGTCCGATCGTTCCTCACTCTCGACCGTTCGCTGGCTGGGCCCCTCTCAAGGCGACGGCAAAAGTCAGCGAAGACGAATGTCTGACGGCAACGGTGCCCTCTCTCGGAACAAGAAATGTATTCGAATTTCCTCACGATTCCCTTCGGAGAGGTGGGGGCATTTTTTTTCCTTTACGGTCCGTTTTGGCTCGGTGCTAAATGCCTCAATTTGATAAATATATAGGGATTCTAGCATTCCTTCCTTCTAGACACTTTTATAGGGGAAAACTGTGCTAATTATCATCGTTGAATCGTATTGCTATCCTATCCCGTCTCATAGTTTTTACTGTTACATCACGTACGGATATTTATGAGGTGGTCAACTGAAACGCAGTTACGCTCTAGATAACTGAGTGCCCTGTTCATGTCATTGAATTAAGGCACGTGAGAAGTAATTTTGCCAGAATATTGTAGATGGATTCAATTAGCCGACCTACATTCGCTCCTTACATTTTAGCAGTGAAAGTGCCCGAGTTGTGATCGTCTCCTTTTTCGTCATCCGCTCTTTATGTTTTGGTAGCACAAAAGCAATATCAGTACTCTCGACTGCATCATAATCAAAGGATCAAACGTGTGATATAACGGCGTCTTTGTAATGAAAACTAAGTATTCGCCGAGATACACTACTAAAGAAAGAAAAAGCGCAAATTGTCATTGGTATGTGACACCGCAGTGTTTCATACCAGATACATCAAACTTTGAACAGGTGTTGCGTACTTCTTGAACAAGTAAAACATTTCGATATTCCTTCTTACATTGCCCAACGTATTCACTGAACACCGTTAAGTTTGCAGTGCGAATAGGTGACCATAGGTGACCAAAACGTGCCTGTAACCAGCCGGTGGTCGTCACAGAACCGGCTACGTTCAGTCTAGACATTGTCTGGACGCATGGCGACCGCCTGCACCCTCATCCCCGTATACTGCTTCTGCGCCTCGGCGGGGGGATTCTTCAAACGACGTTACAATGAAAAGAAGCGCTAGTTCCGAAAAAAAAAAGCAATCCTTTTAATCGAGTGTAACCTGTGTGCGTAGAACGCGGCACTCTTCTGGCTTCGCTTGTTGATCGGGCTCTCTCTCTCTTTTTTTTTTTTTTTGCCAGTGCCCTCCGTACTATACAGCCAGCAAACTTCGAAGGACAGTAAGTTTCCAGTACATCCGGATCTGTTGTAGAGGCATCGCAATTATAAGTGCTCTAATATGGGCGCCACAAATCTACAGCAGAAAAGCCCATATGAGAATATATATGCCCAAACACTGACTTTGCCCTTGGCCCGACAATCCTAAATGAGCGCGAAGTTATGTAAAAGCGCAAAACCTTTTTTTTTTTCGCCACAACACGTTTTCTCCATGCGATTGGGACGGCCGAAGAAAACACGCCACGCAGCCGCCATCTTGGAGGCCATGGGCGGAGAGGCCGCTTCAAAGCTTATAGGTCGCCTCACGGCGATATTTAGTGGGGGCTTGCACAGGGCTGTCAGGAGGTAAGGGGCCCCGTAGTGTCTGGTGCAGCTCCCCTCTGAGACGCCACGCCGGCCTTCTGCAGCTCTTCGCGCACCGCGGAACGAATGAGTTCTCGTAGGCTGTCCTTGGTACCAGTTGTGAATATTTCCGCAGCGCACATGCCATTTACTTGCCTTTCATACATGCTGGAACGTTGCGGTAGCATATTTTTCATGGTCACAGCCTCGGTCAAAAACTAACGACTGTCTTAGGAGGGCTCCTCATGAGGCCGGCAAAGAGTTGCTTTTAACCCCACGCATCAGATGGCGCAACTTATCCTCCGCCATTCTTGGGCCAGCTCGTTGGAAGAGGCGTGTCATGTCTTCCACGTAAGTGGTAACCGTTTCATTTGCAACTGCACCCGGGCCTGAATCACTCGTTGCGCTCGGTCTTGACGATCAGCACTCCAGATGCCTATGACGGAAATCTCGACATGACGTCAGGTGCTACTAGTGATTATGGTAGCACGTACGCGTCCCGTCCTTCTGGTAGAAGTAGACACGTCCCAGTTTTGCCGCGTCGTCACATTGATTTAAGACGGCTACGCGCTCGACATCGGCCATCCAGTCTTCGGGCTCAATGCCATGGAACGTCGTCCGGACCAGGGGGTTCTCCGGTTCAGCATCGCAGTTCCCTGTCGGTTGAAGATGTTTGAGCCGAAGCGCTCGCCATACCTGTCGAAGTGGTGGGATCTGTATCGTTTACTTCTGGGGGCAATCCCCTGACTTGGCGGCTGGCCCAATGCACGGGGGTGTTGACTGGGACAGGGCTCGCAGGGCGACTCCCTGGAGGGGTCTGCAACATCCGCGAGGGCCACCTGGCACCTCCGCCAGTTTGTCACGAGACTCAGAAGTACAGGGGTCTTTTAATTAGCCAAGACATAGCGAGCTCTCAAAAAGCGCGTCCGTCGCGGCTGGCTCTCGAGCGAAGAAGACGCACGCGATACTTTCTTTTTTTAGGGTGAGAGCCACTCTTGCTTTCAGCCCATTGCGTGCATGTGGCAATATATATGAACCCCACAGGTATTTAATACAAAAAAATGGGAGATTTTGTTTCTGTTTTTGAACCGTAGATTTTGTCGAAAATTGAAGGGAACTAAACTGGAAGAAAAATCAATGGAATCGCACCGACAAAACGTGCGAGTTTTCATCCACTTTCATTCATCTTATTTGCGACAAAATAACATGGCACACACACACACACCCACCCACACACACACACACACACACACACACACACACACACACACACAGAGAGAGAGAGAGAGAGAGAGAGAGAGAGAGAGAGAGGTGCCGCGAATGCAGCTTGCCAAGTGATATGGTTCAAAAATCTGCACGATAGCGTCATATCCAGTGGCAAAGGATGATGCACTGCCAATGGCCGATATCATCCAATATATGTACCACATGAGTTGAGGTCGTTTACCGCCACAGCTTCATACTTGTACTGCCCTTTTACAATTTTCAAGATAGAGTCCTTCATACGTTTGTTTACAATTAGATAGTGCAGATTCTAAGTTTTTTTTGTTTAATACATGCTTTGACGTAAACTCACTTCCATTTTTCTCACCAGCTGAGACGCCGAAGGTAAACATTATTTCATAAATGAGTGATAGGAATTTGATGAAAATGATAAGGAATTGAAGACCTATTCGGTTCAGTGACACGGGAGTTTATAGCAAGAAATAATTCACCCCGTGATGAGCTGAGCTTATTCCCATAACAGCTTGACCTTGGTGTCACTTGATATGCATCTTGGTAAATCACTATCTAAAACAACACTTTGCTCTTCCAACGCGTTGTTCCATTGAGGTCTCCTCCTCAGTGCTGATTATTCAAAAAATATTCAAGAAATATTTGGTTCTATTATCCGTTATTATAGACTCCTTATTCAATATTTTCGAATACTCGCACTCCCGTAAATTTTACAGAGCTCTGATGCTATCCCAGCTCTTCTTTGATGAGCGCACAAGCCTTGATGCTTTGCTAAAACAACACCTGCGCTAAATTACTGGAATCAGAGCAGGAGCACTTTTCTCTTCGTTCATACATGTTCCGCGTAGTTGCGTGCAAAAAAAAAAGTTACGTGATAGCACTGTTTGGATTGTGAAGCAACACAACTGACATTGTTGCACGTATAGAATGTCTAAAATGTTGGTAAAAGTAATTTAGCTACACGTTTAGCCCGTTTTTGGTGGATCTTTTCAGCTACTTCTAGCAACATTTTCCCTAAAATCTAGCTATTTCATTTTGCAACACTGGCCATGGTCGAATGTATGCGCCCAGACGCCAGGAGGACGCTTAGCAGGCGACGCGAATGAATGAACGCATCTGGAGGGGCTAATCGCCCTTCCTATTGGCTATAGGAGACCGTGTAGCCTTTAAAGTGGCGAAGAGAAATTCTGAGAAGTTGCACGTTAAAGAACCACTATATGCGGCGTGTCTTATATATAGCCATACTGTTATTATTATCGATACTAGTTATTTGGCATATAGGCTAAGTATAGCGTTACACTAGGACGCTATCTCTTGAGCTTTATTTTATTAGCAATAGCACGTGACTACCGTTTGCCACACGAACGAAAAAGCTTTGTTGTTATAAGTACTGCAGTATTGGCGCTCACCTGCTGCACCTCTGCCGTGGTGCTTCGGAAGAGCTCGATGTACCGGGAGCCGATGAGCTGCCGGTGCTTGTGGAGCGCGCGGCTGGCGACTTCCTCCGAGTCGAAGAGCACGAACGCGTCGCCCGTGGCCCGTCCGTCGGGCTTGCGCACGAAGAGCACGCCGTCCTCGTCGTCCATCACCGGGCAGCTCGTGTGCGGCTCCGAGCCCTCGCTGCCGTCTCCCGACGACGCGAAGAACTCCACCTGCGACGCCGCTTACGATGGGAAAACCTCGCCCGTTGCGTCGCACCTTCGGCACCTCTCAGGCATTGTGCCAGAAAACGCAGTCGCCTCTTGCGACTATCCCTCACCTGTCACATTCTCTCTAATTATTGCCTCATCGATGAAAGCTTGTCTTGGTTTACCTCACCACAGTATATTTCAACTCGAGGTGTAACTTTGGATGTGCTTTATGTCGAGGTTATTGAACAAACTAATTGGTTAATATTCATTGTACATACCTGCCAAGTTTAAGGATTTTGAATCCGGGAGATTTCCGCAACGGGGGAGGGGGCACAAAAAAAAACAAGGACACACATACAAAAGCATTGCGAAAAACAAGAGGCGGTGGGAGGGGGTCTCAATCGCAAGCGCCAACATCAGCGTTGTGGTCTTATAGTGGCTAGGAGTGGCCGAACACACGGGGGTAGAGTTTTTCACTAAGGTGAGAGTCTCAAAGGATCTACACAACTAGCAGAATCTATTTCAGTCAAAACAACTCGCGTGTGTCTTCCTGGGACACACGTGAACGGACGGGATGGTGCAGCTGGCTGCCGCAAAAGCGCGGGTCAAAGCTTTGCTCACTACTGGATTCTTTTGACAGTAACGCCAAAACGCGTCTGGCCCCTTTTTATTGTGATAGCAATTATACGAACAGTCCAGGCAGTTTTTTTTTTTTTGCCGTTGCCACCGCCACCGTCCTTCAAGTATATGTATACGTATCTATATGTAGGAACTCAAAGAAAAAAAAGCCGCCCGCGCTCAGCGCCGAGCTCGTCGCAATGCGCCAACGCGTGCTCATCTCTCACGTGTACTTTGCCCCATTGATGGATGCCTGTGCGCGCGCGCTTATCCTTTGGTGGGGGAATCGTGCGCCTTCGGCTTTCACTGAAACGAAAGCGTTAGTTGCCGGCCCCACAAAGGCCACTTTGGTCTCTGCACAGGCACCTCTTGCGAAAACAGCGCACTTTTGATACACAGTGAGTTATAACAACTGAGACACTTGTTAGTTTGTACTCATCTGTACTTGTGGCTACGTATCCCGCATCGTTTTTGTGTAAAAAGCGCGTTACGTGTCGAGCGGTAAACGTTGTTAGTCACGATACTCTCGTCCGGCGAGTATCGTTTTCGTGCTTCATTTTTGTGTGGAGCAGCGCGCTGCACGTTTCGATCTGCTTGCCGTTCTCAGCGTTGCATTCCAAGTTGTTGCTGTCGCATTCATTGCTTCGCCCTTGCAGCGAAACTTTTTTTTACGTATTTACGGCCTTTAACCTACCGCTGGGTGCCCTCGTAGATCGCTATCGCGTCGCCGCGACCGCAGTTTTGCGCTCGGCGGTTGCGGCAAATGGTAGTTCATTTTACAATCCCCATGCGCTTGGCTGCGCACGCGCCTTCAAAACTAAGTCGTTTTATGCCATCTACGATAGCATCTGCCGCAGTTTTGACCGCAGAGTTTGCGGAAAGCAGCGTTGCTTTGACTGGTTGAACGCACACTTTCGGGGTTCGGTCAGATATGCCGTCGCCATACATGATTGTGTCAAGAGCGACCGCGGTTCCGTCCACAGTGGTTGTGGCAGCGACAATCACGCACACTGTAGAAGGCAGTGCGTGCGCCGGTCGCACGCGTACTTCCGAAGCTTCGAATACGCTGCTCTCGGCCTTTGTTCGACGGTTTCCATACTAAGTTTCGTATTACCCGCTGTGATTAGGAAATGTGTAGGGAAGATTCGAATTTAGGCCCAATGAACATCGTAAAATTTGGCGGGCGAATTGCAAGAATTTGTATCTGCCATGGTTTCGCATCACTGAGATTATACTGTACGTTCACGTGAACGCCTCTTATACTCATTTATATTAAAATGGGGTAGGTTCGAAAAGCGTGGAGTGGACTGAGCTGTTTTTTTTTGTCAATGCACAGAAATTTCGATTTCCGGGAGATTTTCATGACAACCGTTCGAACGGAAAAAAACTGTCAAAATGAGGGAGTCTCCCGGCCAATCCTAAAAACTTGGCAGGTATGATTATAGCATGGTTTAGGGACATGTAATTCCACATATCAATCAATTCATTATAGGTTACAGCGCACTCTGACAGACAGACGAAGAGACACTCGAAGACGAGCGCTGACTTACAACACTGACTTATACGTGCTAAGTCAGCGCTTGCCTTCGTGCAGTTAATCTTTGTCCACGTGTCAGAGTGCGCTGTAAGTGATTTATGTATATTGTTACGCTTTGACTGACTTGCTGACTGACTGGCTCTGGTACTGAAGTCAATTAATTCATTCCGCGCAACAGCACTCAGTTCAATCTTCATCACCGCCATTATATCCCACTCCCTGCAGTGTACAATGCTCTATAGGTCTGGACACTGTGCACAATTAATATGCAGCACTCCACTCGACGTTGGTGTTTTTTTTTTTTTCGTTGTTGTTTCCTCTGCGCTCTAACACCTGCGGCCACGAGTCGATGTCCAGAAAAGGGTGCTGAATGAATCGGGGCACATGTACTGCAAACTATTATCCTGACTAAATAGTTGTGATTGTTGTTACACTCACCACTGTCGACGAAAGCATCGCTATGAAGCCCATCAACAGATTGATTGATTTATATGTGGGGTTTAACGTCCCAAAAACACCATATGATTATGAGAGACGCCGTAGTGGAGGGCTCCGGCAATTTCGACCACCTGGGGTTCTTTAACGGACACCCAAATCTGAGCACACGGGTCTACAACATTTCCGCCTCCATCGGAAATGCAGCCGCCGCAGCCGGGATTCGATCCCGCGACGTGCGGGTCAGCAGCCGAGTACCTTAGCCAGTAGACCACCGCGGCGGGGCAGCCGATCAACAGAGAACCGATTTGTGAGCGAGAGTGCGACGCAGAAACATGTGACGATAGGTCGACGAAACGTTTCATGTGGTCGAGCCACGTGTAGATAACCCCGAAGTATACGTTCCACCGCTTGCGCTAACCTGGCGCAGACACTGCACACTTCGGGAGTGCAGCGGCCAAAGTTGAGGGTGCTTTGGGAAATCGCTGTAAACTGTCCAGTGCAACTAATCGACGGCACACAGTCCGCCGCCGTGGTGTAGCGGTTATAGTTATCGGCTGCTGACCAGAAGGTAGCGGGTTCGCCCACGACGGTCGCATTTCGATCGAGGGGAAATGCTAGAGACCTGTGCGCTATGCGGGGTCAGTGCACGTTAAAGAACACCAGATGGTCGAAATTTCGAGAGCCCTTCTACACGGCGTGCCCCATTATTATACCGTGCTTTTGACTAATTAAACACCAGATAATAACATTATTATCGACGGGAAACACACACACCAGAGCGCTTGTTTTCAACAGTGAATTGCCTTTTGCCTTTTCCGCGGAATGATGAATACAGATAGGTGAACGGAAATAAAAGAGAATAAAAGTTGCAGATGAATGTTAGCGCTCTGTTGTGCGCAGATCTTGTTTCCCATCAATTGGTTGCGCTATACAATCTGCAGTGGTACTATACCAACACGCCACCCAGTCTTCCAGCTTCACCTTGGGGAACCTTTCGTGTCTGGGGGAAGCTTGGTGCATTGTGCCGATAAAGATGGGGAATTTTCAGATTTACCTCATCGAAAACCTCTGTAGCCTGATACCATTTGAGTGCACGTTAAAGAATCCCAGGTGGTCGAAATTTCCGGAGCCCGCCACTATACGGCGTCTCTCATAATCATATGGTGGTTTTGGGACGCTAAACCCGACATATCATCCATCTGTAGCCTGTTACAGATGCTATCGGGAGACGTTTCGAGCGGCAATTTGTAACTTCGCTGCAATGTGTCGAGTCCTGACGTTCCCACCGAATCCTGAACGCTAAAAAACAGAACTAATAGTATTCCTTTTCTGTAGCGCATGTCAAATAACTCCACAAATAAGTCTTGCACGAAATAACTTATGGATGGTGGTGCATGGTGACCCTCAAAGAGATGAGCGGGAGACTTTTATAAAATGTTCACTTATGCAAGCAGGGATTTTAACACCACCACAGATCATCATAAAGCCGACTGGCCGCCCTGGATTCTGATCAGAGGAGAAGCCAGAATTTAATTTTGCCGTACGTCGGTGCTTTTATTCAAAGTCTAAGGGAGCGATGGATTGCTACCGCCGTGTAAGAAAGTGTACTGCGCGTCTGAACAACACAAGTGGGCACGTATTTCTGTCTCGCATGTTCTGACGTTCTGTAAGATTTCCCTATCGCGCGTGTTTGGTTCTTCATCCATGGATGTGCACCCAGAATAACGACAAGTTGAAGTGTTCCCGACAGAGGCGTTCAGTTAGGGTATCAAAATCTGAGGAAGAGAAAGTCGCCTTACCACTTGTTTAGCGGTGCAGTCGTAAGGTAGTCCGCGCATGCGCACAATCACTTGTCCACCTCGCGACAGGAAGGAATGAGCTTCGTTGTTGTTACCTAGAAAACGTAAACGTAAAAAAAAATGGCTCTCCCGACAGTTTTCCAGTCGATCAAACCAGCGTCTTCGTTAACAACAACAACAACAACAACAACAAGAACAACAACAACAACAACAACAACAACAATCTCACGTTCCGAAAAAGCGCCATTATATTTTTCTGAGGCACAACTCACAGACCAAAATATTCATCCGAGAAGAAAATACGCAGAAGTAGGTTACAGACGATAGTTATAGCGCGAGAACAAAACGACGACACAGAGACAAGAAAAACACGCTTTGTCTCTGTGTCCTTCTTGTCTCTGTGTCGTCGTTTTGTTCTCGCGCTATAACTATCGTCATGCCATACCAACTAGCCCAAGCTGCCACACTTCTAGGTTACAGAGTCTCAGAATATTGGCGACGACAAACCCGTGAACACGCCTTTCACGGAAAAGATCAACTAATGACCCACCAAACTTTTCACGCTGAATGTGTCCCATCGTTTGCGTGCCTTGGTTTCTATTCGTTCGTATCGTGGTGCAACATAATGAGCCAGTACCCCCAGTTCACTGTACTCCTAAAGGCGAAGTAGAGAAGATAAAGAGAGAAAAAAAAAGAAAACTGAAGCTGCCCAAAGCAGCAAAAAGGGGAAAGAAGTCCTGCAGCGCATGCCTACACCCGAGGTCCACGATGGACGGACGAACACGTGGCGTAAGTAGCTCTGCTGTTAAAACTTGGGATTCTGACGCGTTTCAAAAGTCGCGTTACTCTGACGAGGAAATGCTAGAGGACGTGGGGCGCCGTCGACATACGAAAGCTACACTATATACTACACTATATAGTTATCTGGCTACACTATATACATACACAACGTATAACCAGCATTTGTCACTGCCTTGCATTCAAGAAAAAAAACTACACCTCCCAAAAGGGTGGTCTTACAGATACTGTCGACCGACAGGCGTTACACAGAGTGATTGTTACGCCTGTTATTGCAATACGAGCGCGCTTACTATTAAAAAAAAAACAAACATGAAGCGCGTTCGAAGGTGTGTCTGTATTTGTGATGGGCCATGACTAAATAGTGGAACTAGCTGTTTGCTCAATTCGAGTCGCGTTACAAACATGCAACGGTCACAAAGTAATACCCAGTTGCTTTGACACTTAATTGAAAATATCGCGCTATTGCATGAATTACAAAAACATTTCATTACGTATACGAGCTAACGCGCACTGCAGTTATCATGCAGACAGCTGTGTGCAACACGCGAACCTGTCAGAACTCCGGAGACATTCGTGGGCAATTTTCGTGGACTTTTTTTTTTGAATTGGTGGGCGTCAATTATACGTTCGCTGCCGATATTACCATTTTTTTGTTGTTACGAATTTTACTAGTGTAAGAACGTTTCGGAAGTACGGGGGCCCTCAAGACAGAATAAGCAAAGTGATCGTAATAGCTGCTGTAAACAGTTGTAAATAGATTATCATGGTTCGTCATTCTCTCTTGAAAACGTGTCCGACGTCACGATTGGCTGACAGCCGCTCTTGTAAACAGATGGGGCCAAATTCATAAATATATTCGGACATAAGTGATGTTAGCTGTTGACAAGCATCATTCGCTTATGTTGTCTGGTATAAGATTGACTGAAATATTCTCTTACGAACATTTTTAGGGTAAATGATTTTCATGGACACGAGCTGTCATATTCTATATCAGTTATATCAAACACTCAGATCGACCACGCTGGTCTAGTGGCTAAGGTACTCGGCTGTTGGCACGCAGGTCGCGGGATCGAATCCCGACCGTGGCGGTTACATTTCGAAGGAGGCGGAATACTTCCGTAAGATTTCGTTGAGTTGCTCGTTAAAGAACACCAGATTATCCCTGAACTCCCAGAGCCCTTCACTACAGCGTCCCTCATATCGTGGCTTTGGGACGCAAAACTTCAACAATCATTGCTATTAACACAACCGGCAGCAGTATACAAGTGAAAACTTCGCACTCATTCGAATCTGCACAAGTTCCGACAAGCATTTCTGCTCCGATTTCGCCTAAAAAGAAGAGGCGTATACCTCCGTTCTCCGGGACATTTATCTTTCTAGTGGAAGCAGTAATCGCCGAGAAGGCGCACTATCAGCCACGCGCACACAATCGTCGTGGTCCTTCGTTAAGCTTGGGACCAGAGACAATGCAAAGACTGACGAGAGAAAAAAAAAACAAATGAAGAGAACAAAAGGAGACGAATGATGCTGTCTTCTATCGCGCGTGTACGCCCTTGACCACAGGCCTTGGGCAAGCGCGAGGATTTCCGTACTCGCTATCACGCGACTCTTGGTCAACTTGGTGCACTACAGAGAGAGGGGGGAAGGTGACTGCACCGATCAAAGAGATGAACCACAATAACGGGAGTGAATCAGCACGCAGTCGAACGAGCACGCAGTGTGTTAGCACACTCACCTCCGGCGACGTTGACGAAGTCCTCGCCCGTGGCTCGGTACACTTCGATGTACCGCTGGCCGATGTGGTGCTTGTGCCTCTTGAGCGCCATGTCCCGATGCTCGCTGTTCTCGAAGCGGACGAGTGCCTCCCCGTTTCGCCGACCCTGTGGACTCAGGCAGAGCGCCACGCCTCCCCTGAAAGGAGGCACCACGTTTCGTCTCGTGTTCTGTGGTTTTGTGCGCGCCGCAGTCACTGAGCGCCCGCTGAGGTTTTTACACGTGCACCGCTGGCGCAACACATCATGCCTCGATGGCTACACACGCTTGATTCCAACTGACAACGGTACGCGGCTCAGCCGGACTTATGGCGTTCCGGGCCGTATAGGCGGCATACCGATATTCCTCTGCCGGCTGCGCGGCGGGGAGCGTATTCTGATAAACGCGGAATTGCGCAACGGGCTCTATCTTTCTTTCATTCTTTCCTTGATGAGATTTCGCATCCAAGTTACTCGCGTGCAATGTACTCATCCCTTTGTACTACGTAGTCCCCGTAACATAAGTTCATACGCCTAGCTTTGATTAATCTCCCTAGTTGCACGTGGCGGCTTCGATGTGCAGCCAAGGCCAGAGCACACGTTTATACATGTTTTTTTTTATCTCCTCACTACATAAGTACTGCAGGTCGATCAACGACAGTTAGTTCTCAACTTGTGTCAAGCTCAACTTTCGAAACCAACGATGACAAATGCTTAGCTGCGCGAACGGTTTCGAAACTCGGCTATAGTTTATATAGCCATCTATGTCACATGTTGCTTTTGAGCTACTGACCGCATGTACAGCCTGTCCCTACAGCAAAGGGAATCGCTAGAGACAGACGAACTCCGCCTAAATACAACGATCATTATCCACGCTTTTTCGACGTCTCGTTCCTTATGAACAGCAAGCGGAACTACCAGAGCAGCGTGCATCGCAATGAACTCTGAACGTTCGCACTATGAAGCACATAGTTTCACAATGTCGAAGCATAGACGGTGACACGTATTATTCCGGAACTAACACTACACATGGTAGCGGTCAACAGTGCTTTTATATGACCATGTCACGAGCCCACCTTTTTAGACCCTTGAAAGCCAAAGACCACTGAAATCTCGTGTAAATTTAGATCCAATGGGTTACAAACTTGGACACTTGTTTTAGAGGTACACGTACGCACGACGTGGATATGGAGACTCGAGGTGTCACAAAGGAAGCATTGTGCGAAAGAAACTGTTTACCACGTTGCCGCTTGTGTTCACTGCGTCGCTTTCATTATATTTCCAAAAATTATGCAAAGTACGCATTCACGGGTATGTACGCCTCTTTTCATCACGCTTAGTCATCACTGTGTGGTATCTGAGACAACGGTCGATATACGAACACACTCACACGTACTAATACTTTGAACGCAGCAAATAAGATAACAGTGAATCGACGAGTTCAAACAGCTGCCTCGGACAGCATACAAATATAATGATAAAATTGAATGATGTTACCGTGTGATATCGCGTCCACATTAATATTGAAACATGTGTATAGCGCTGATACGACCATGTAAAAAGAGAGCAGCAGGTACCCATCCAGTAGGATGCACTACTTGAATTTATTCTTTTCACAAGTTCAAGTAGTGTTCTACAGGACAACAGAAATACTGAGATTTTTTAGCGTAAAAGATTGATTTCAGGGGCACTCGAACAAAAGGTAAGCGGGTTTACGCCGAAAAGTACAGTTACCTGAAACACCACACGTTCAATGGCAATTAAAAAAACAAAACATGTTGAGGCTGAACGAGAAAAAAAATATTTTCCCCTAATTCGCACCGCCAGTTTCTCGCAAGTCGGAGTACGGTGGCAGTAGTTAAGGAACAACTAACCGACGAACTCTTATCTGGAAGCCTCTCGAGAATAGCGGACTAAGCAGGCTGAAAAAAAAAAAAAAAACAGCTACCATCGTACGCACTGCAAAAGGCTCCCCGCGTCCGGCCTTGACTTTGCAGTGTCTCGCAGCGACGAGACGCAATTCTGCAATACACACAAACACGCGCTATCTGCACGCGATGGGGAGGACCTGCAATGCAGAGCTGCCGTCTACGCAGCCGTGCACCCCGAGTCCGTCTCGACTTCCACGTGTTCCTCGCTTTCCCCGAACGCACGTGCAATTGTGGCGATTGCAGGCGTGGTTTATTATATATATATATATATATATATATATATATATATATATATATATATATATATATATATATATATATATATATATATATATATATATATATATGAGGGCTCACAATTTCTTACAACTTCGCTTCCCTTTCCTCACCCTCTCACCAGGAGTGCGCTTATTACCTTAGTTCTCACCTGTTGCGTGCTCAGAGCACCCGACGCGTTTTCCCTCTCGGCCCAGCAAAAAAAAAAAAAAAATCATGCGAGAGAACCCGACGTGGCCGCGTGCATAGTTTTCCACGCTCACTGGTATATCGCGTTGGCTTGAGGGGTGTGGGTAGAATCAGAAGAGTGTTCGATGCGGTCCGAGGACATCCCGGGCTCCGGTCCGATGCCAACCTTTGGGTGGAGGGCCCAAAGCCGGCCTGGTTGGAGCCACGTCGCAGCGACCTCGGCGAACAGCAGCACCACGCTTATCCAGCTGGTCCGCCCCTCGGCGCGGGCGGCTATGACGCGTCGGCTCCGCTGCCCAGCGCCCAAGTCTCGCAAATCTCTCGGTCAGCGGAGAGGTCTGTATCATGCGCGGACGCCTTCCAAGTCCGATAGGGAGAAGGAAAGAGGGGGGGAAAAGTGTTCTGCGGTTAGGGTGGAGAAGAGCGTGGCGATAAGGAAGCGCTTTTTCTGTTGTGTCGTCTGCGATGCCTTCTTGTTCTCTATTTCTTTTCTTGCTTACCCACGCTAACGGCCGGCTTGATAGGCAGCGCTGTGCAAAACGCTGACAGATGATCCGCAAAGATCAAGGACCCTCAAAATGGCTCCTCCTCGATGACCGCACCGAGAAGCAGAAAGACAATCTGCGCACGCCGTAGCTTTTCGAAGAGGATCACGTTATCGGCGGTGTGCTTCGCTATTCGGCGAAGAAATCCGCAGTGTGGAACCGTGCACGCCGATAGCCAACCAAAGCGCGCCCGCGTGAACTTGTTCTATCGGCAAGGAAAGAAGGTCAATAACTTTATTTGGTCCTGCGGAACGCGCTGTGTGAAGTCGCATGTAGAACTTAACGCTGTGGCCGCATGTCCAGAAGCTCCGAGGCATAAACAGGAAACTGCATGCATTTTTTTTTTCGCTCACAACTCACAGTGATTGCACGAGCGGCGGTCAGCAACATGGACGCATGCGAAACGCTGACAGCGCATCGTACTGTATACACGCGGTACGACAGGTGTAGCGGAAAAGTCCAACTAAACCGCCACCGGACAATTCTTTGTGCGGATCCTTGTTTTTGGAAGCATCACTAGCACGCGTTTGCTGGTTCAGAGACTCCACATCTGAGAGCCGCACAATTTCACAACTTTGTCCAGTCTTGTTAACATATGTCACTTGGTTTGTAATCGTAATCCTTCTCTTATTTGACCCCCTTCCTCATATTTTTCACGAATATTATCCCAAACGAAGTCGACCGCATGAATATCTGTTCAGTACAACCAGGCGGCAACTAACAGTTGTAGAGACATGTTTATGACTCCGTGGAGGGTGTAGAAGGAGATTCGGCCGATGTCTGATGTTGCTCAAATGTGCTCTGTTCAGCCACATCAGCTCTCTTGTCTGTACATTTGGCGCCCTTTAATTATACCGGGGCATTTGCTCAATAAGTCACCATATGTCAACTTGACGCGCCAGAAGGCTGATACCCATAAATGCGCATATAAAAAGCGGAAGACGGCACTAGTCTGATAATATATGCTCCCTAAACTGCAGTCCTATATCTTTATATATTGTCAAGACAGTGCTGATTGCTGAAGTGTCGCGGTACGAGTTTGTCTTTTATCCGGCTACATATAAGCGTGTGCGTTGGTAACTTGTGCTGCACATGATAGCGATATCGAACTCCATCTAACTATGCTCTATTTTGATACGATCACTTTCGGTATCGCCGAAACGTCGCTGTCAGCACGCGGCGCATATTGGGTAGTTGGGGAAAGGCGACCAATCTCAGTCATTGATCGCGCGAAATTCGGCGTCAAGCACGAGCTCCTATATACGTCAGAAATGTGGCACCTAGCGATTTTTGTGAATAATAATAATAATAATAATAATAATAATAATAATAATGGAAGGTTTAACTTGCCGAAATCCCAATGATTATGAGAGACGCCGTAGTCGAGGGCTCCAGAAATGTCTGCTACCTGTGGTTCTTTAACGTGCACCCAAATCTGAGCACACTGGCCTACAGCATTTTCGCCTCCATCAAAAATGCAGCAGCCGTAGCAGGGATTAGATCCCACGGCCTGCGGGTCAGCAGCCGAGTGCCTTAGCCACTAGACCGCCGCGGCGGGACTGTTTCTTTGGGGAAGCGCATAACACGACAACGTTGCTTCAGTTTCTCAAGTGCACAGATCTCCTTTATGGACTCGGTGTGGCAACTTTCACGAATTACATGCTGTGCAACGTACAGCATGGTTCGCAGCAGCCGAGAAGCGCGAACGTCCACTACTGATGACCTTCTCCTCGACTCCTGTTGAACGGAAGGCCTACGGAAGGATTAGCAGTGGACAATTGGCGAGCTCTCCTTTGTCGACCGGCTCCCGTTATTAATTGACTGGATTTCGTTGCATTGAACGCAGTCAGAGGCGGAGTTTACATGAATGCCACAAAAGTGAATAGCATTGCATGTAAACGAGGCAAGATGTTAGCGCACGTTAACATGTGACGCATGCGCAGCGCGCCAAGCACGACGCTTTGTGTACTAAACAAAACACGTTGCGGGTTTAGTTCGGGATTAATGATTATACGTTCTTACTTAAAATATTGTAGCGCTGCATTTGACGAGGACAAGACAGCGAAGAACATGACAGGATGGGCGTTTCTTTGAGTACTCCTTCAATATGCCTACTAGGTGACGTCGCTTTTATTGGTAGCAATATGTTCATACATGTAAATAGTGAATGAAATGTAGGCAATATGCGATACGGTGAATAAATGCTGTGTGCTTATAGA